GCCGTCGGCGACCGCCGTCGCCAGGGTCAACGATGACATCACGGGGTCGGTGTTGGCAGCGCGCAGCGGTGTTTCCGTGACGCGACTTCAAGCGGGATTCTCCAGGGCGAGCTTCCTTCCGATGTCGAGCGTGAGGTGGCTTCCTTCGTGGGCGGTGCATCGCCGCCTCCGCTTCCAGCAGCCCCGCTCCCTCCCCCGCGAGCGGACCTGAGCGACGTGCCGCCGGCGCCCCCTGCCCGCGACGCCGTGCTGTCGTCGATCAGGGCCCGGCGAGACTCGAGTATGACGGAGGCGCCATCTGGTGGCAAGGATGCGGTACTTGCCTCGATCAGAGCGAGGGGCAGCGCTACTGCTGTGGGGGGACCACCGTCCGATACTGCTTCTACCGCGGGGGTGTCTACCGATGACCTGCCTCCAGCAGAAGCAAGAGGTGGTCTGTTCGCACAAATAAATGCAAGAAGAAGCTCTGGAACAAGTGCAGTACCACCTCCTCTCCCGGCGACAGACCCTCCAGCCCCTCCCCCAGTTCCCGGTAGAGATGGTCTGTTTGCGCAAATAAATGCGAGGAGAAACTCTGGAACGAGTGCAGTACCACCCCCTCCCCCGGCGACAGACCCTCCAGCCCCTCCCCCAGCTCCTGGGAGAGATGGTCTGTTTGCTCAAATAAATGCGAGGAGAAACTCTGGAACGAGTGCAGTACCGCCCCCTCCCCCGGCGACAGACCCTCCACCCCCTCCCCCAGCTCCAGGGAGAGACGGTCTGTTTGCTCAAATAAATGCAAGAAGAAGCTCTGGAACGAGTGCAGTACCACCCCCTCCCCCGGCGACAGACCCCCCAGCCCCTCCCCCAGCTCCCGGGAGAGACGGTCTGCTTGCGCAAATAAAGGATAAGCGCAAAAATGGTAATAACAACAACAATAAGCACAAGCCACCAGTGACTGTGCAAGCGGCCGAGAACTCACTGCCCCCTACTCATCAACCCGCCACGACTCCGGTAGATCCCACTTCCTCTAATGCAGCAGACACAGGGCCAGTAAACATAGGTCATCTGTTAACTAAGATGGAATCTACTGCCAGACATACGGCCGATGCTGCACTGTCGCATATAGTAGGTAGGGGGATGGAAGAGATGGGTACGCTATTGCTTCAGCTACCGGGTACTAACGAGGAACAGGAGCACTCTTTGTTATCTCAGGTCATTGGTGGTGCTGTCGAGGGCATGAGAACTTTACTCCCTCAGATAGCAACTACAAACGATGCAGCCTGTAAGCATTCTAGCACTCCACACACCCTAGCAAAACCACAAACACCACCCTACCCAGAAAACACATCAACACCACCCACCCTAGCAAAACCACAAACACCACCCTACCCAACAAAACACATCAACACCACCCACCCTAGCAAACCCACAAACACCACCCTACCCAGAAAACACATCAACACCACCCACCCTAGCAAAACCACACACACCACCCTACCCAGAAAACACATCAACACCACCCACCCTAGCAAAACCACACACACCACCCTACCCAGAA